AACCCACAAAAACCTATGGATGTTGGCTGTGAAAGCCTTTGACTTCACTTCAGCAGTTTGTTTTTGCCTGGGCTGACTGGAAAAGAAAAGATTCCACCAACTCCCTTCCTTTCTGCACTGCTGAATTGAGGGGATATGGGAGAAGGAAAGAAGAAACTGGGACTGTTTGAAAACATTTGAAAAAGTGGGACGATAGAGGATTAAATGGGACTGTCCCTGCCAAAATGGGACAGCTGGAGGGTATGGGAGAAGTGGAAGAGCTAGAACTGGATCTGCCAGTTTTAAAAATAGATCTTAAAAAGAGAGTTCAGCTCTTGATCAGAGGAAAGGCACTCAGGGAGAGAGCTGGGAAAGCCACTTTTTGGACTATGATACCCAGAATCCTCCAGCCATCATGGTCCAAAAAAGGCATGGTCCAAAAAAGTAAGTCTTCCAAGCTCTGCTAGGAAAATTGTAAAAAACAAAGACAGCAGTGCCTTTGAGGGTGAAATAACCATCCCTCAATCACTAGTTGGACAATATTAGGCCCTAACCAAATTGTGATAAAAGAATATGCAAACAGTCCAGAAGTGTGCACATGCTCTTGGTCACTTTCACACTACACAATAATAGTGCTATGATTCCACTTTAACTGTCATGGTTCTATCCTATGGAATCCTGGGATAGGCAGTTTAGGGAGAGGGATTTAAAATTTTCAGAGAGAGTTGTAGCGCTTTGTTGTTGTTAGCTGCCCTCGAGTCGGCTTCGAGGATGGAGACATCTACAGGAATTCCTATCCTCCACGACAGTCTTGCCCAGATCCTGCAAGCTCTTGCCCATAACCCCCCTGATCGAGTCTATCCATCTGGCTTTTGGTCTTCCTATCTTTCTTCTTCCCTCTACCTTTCCTAGTATTATTGTTTTTTCTAGTGATCCATGGCTTCTCATTATGTGTCCAAAGTATGATAGCCTCAACATCATCTTGGCTTCAAAGGAGAGCTCTGGTCTGATCTGTCCAAGAACCCGTTTGTTTGTCTTCTTGGCTCTTTATGGTATCCTATGTACTCTTCTACAGAAGTAGTCCTTTACCAAATGACAAATCCCATGCTCCCTTTAGACAAAGCCATGGTGGTAAAAGTGGAATCAAATATTATAAATATGGAGTGTGAAAGAGGTCCTTGAGATAGGCTGATGAGTTCTAACAAAGGTTTTGTCCATCCAAGGAAGCAGGCCTTTAACCTTTCTGTTGTGCCATTCCCCTGATCAAAAGTGCACATTCTTAGCAACATTGGATAACAAGTATATATATAAGTGTGTTCAATCCAGGATTAGCCCTCTGCTAGCTAGACCATGGAAGGTCTCTTGGCCCAATTTTGGGGGATTTCCTACCCACAACTACATCCCATTCAGCCCCTGAACATTTTCACATGGCTGTAGGAAGCAGGAACGTCTGCTTCTCTCCTCTGCCACAAAGAGGCCTGTGACCTCATATGAATGGATTGCAAGAAAGGGGCCCTTGTTGAGATGCAAATAGATTTTAAATGTCCTGGTCTTTGCAAATCTCCCAATATCCACATGGCCAGAAGGAGGAAGGGCCAGCCCGCAAAAGATACCCTCCCCTTAACATCTTAGCTAAGGACAGAAACATCAAAATGCAGGCATCTGACTAACATCTCCAATTGTTTTTCTCCTGTTTGGTTTGTAACATCTTGCCTGATCAAGAAGCTGCCCGCTTCGAAAGCTTGCAACAAGTATATTGTGCATTTTGCTTGGCCAATAAAGGTATCATTATTTGGTGGACTTTTGTTTGAATTTGCTTCTTCCAGCTGTTATCTAAATCTGGGGTAGGCAGCTGTGGCCCTCCAGATATGTTTGGTCTGCATATCTCACCATCCCTCCTCATTGGATAGCTGGCTAGCACTGATGATCATTGTTATAAACAGGCTTTCCAGATCACAGGGCCTGGTCTGAAGTCATCACTTTTCACGTCTGGATTACTGCAACACACTCTACATGGGGCTACCCTTGTGCCTAACCCAGAAACTCCAATTGGTACAAAATATGGCAGCCAGGCTAATAACCAGGCCATCGAGGAGGGAGCACATTACACCAGTGCTTAAATCCCTCCACTGGCTGCCAATTAGTTTCCGGGCGCAGTACAAGGTGTTGGTTTTGACCTTTAAAGCCCTACATGGCCTGGGTCCATCTTATCTTAGGGACCGCCTCTTCCCGTATGATCCCCCCCTGTGCCCTTCGGTCCTCTGGGAGGAACCTGTTACAGCCAATAAGAACTAGGCTGTCTCAGACCTCCCAGAGGACCTTTTCCGCCACCGCCCCCAGGCTATGGAACGGCCTGCCGGACGAGATCCATCTTACTACCACGCTCACTTCCTTCAAAAAGGCAGTGAAGACGGATCTCTTCCGGCAGGCCTTCCCAGAATAATATTCTCCTGGAATACATCTGCCCTGGGAGACGAGCTTGTCTGTTATTTAATTGGCTTACTGCCAATTATTGTTTATTATTTTAATTGTCTAATTGTTTTAATCCTTTTCATGTTTAATTTTGTTTTAAGGGGTTGGGAGGTTGGGACTTGGGGATTG